GCTAATCTGTGTATGTTGTTTCTTCTTTACAGTTTAATTTTGAAACCCATTTTGAGAGAGTTTTAATATCCTGTATATGTAATAACAAATTATGACCTATCAGCTGCTTCCATTGTATGCTAAGTAGAAAGCGTATCAGGCAAATGATTGCTGCATTAGCTGGACACTGGCGTGCATTAGGACCAACGATTTTTGTGGACAAATACAGCATTTGAAGTGGCAGCCATGGATGTGGCTAGCACTGATTCCTGGGACTGTGGGTGCATTGCCTAATTGAGACATTGTGTGTGTGTGTGTATGGTTGGGGAGGGGAAACTGTTTTTCTGTCATCTGCATTCTTTCTCTTGTGGGCAAGCCACATCTCACTGGTGGGCTGGATCAGAATCAAAAAGGAAGGGTTAGAGCCAAACAGGGTCACACCACCTCTTCTCTCTTTCTGCTGTCACTTTCCCCTTCTTGCCCTCCTGCCCTTGCAGCAAATCGCAAGCAAAGGCAGAGGCCACTGAATTCATTGCTTGTGCATCACTTAAGGTGCCATCCTTTGTGAATTCAGACGTGGAAATGCCTGTGGAGCTGAGGATGTGGAACAAGTGATCAAGTTGCCTCCCTCTTTGCCTGCCTTTAAAACATTCCTTTTCTTGCAAGTACTAAATTTATTTGCAGTGTAATTTCCCTTGCTTACCCCTTGCTCTTTTTAGCTCCGTCTTGGTTTTAATCACTTGCTGGTCACCAGCAGTGACAAGAACTTGCATGGGAACAAGAGCAGAGACTTCTGGAGTGACTTCTCTTCCCTGTCAGCCCTCCTGCTTTCATGCTGTCTGCTCAAGAGGTATGACTCTCTTTTGTGCATTCAGCAGAGAAATCAATCAGGCAGCTGAAGGAGGCCGGAAATACTTCATACTGTCTTTGCCAGTCTGCAAAAGTGCTTAAGCATGCAGCCCTATCCCAACTTTGGACAGAAAAGAGTCTCACAACACCCAGCATTGGCTCTTGCAGGCATAGGATTCTGCACAAAATTTACTAATCATATTGTAAGTAGAAGTCTACCTACAAATGTATTCTGAAGAAATGAGTATATCTCTCTGCTACTTTTGTAATCCAGATTTATGGTATTCCTTAGTAGTGAATGTATTTAATTTGTTCTCAGGCAACCTAATACAAACACTTACTAAATCTTTCTAAGCAAAACTCATTTAAATCAGTAGGCTGTTTCCAGGGTGGATTTATTTAGATTGTGATGTAAATTGGCCTGAAACAGGGCTGACTTAAATCACATTTCTTACTACACGCATTTTCTGAACAGTGAGGCTGCAGTCCTGTCAGACTCGCATAGTAGTGAGCCTGCTGAACTCAGAGCTGGACAGCTTCGTCTACTTTCTTTCCAGTTTGCTCCTTTCTGCTTCACTGTCTTTGGCCTAACTCTACCATCAAGAAACAAAGCTGCGAACAAACATGTGATAGGAGGTGATTTTTACTGGACAGATTAGAGGAGTTTATTTTCATTGGATGAAAATGAGATGTTTATGCAGGGTAGACAGAGTGTAAGCCCTATATGAGATATGATCAAAATCAATTCTTCATTTCCATACACAATTCTTAGGTGCAGGTATATCTGGTAGAACCATTCAGTTTAGAGATTTCACTATAGGGTTAACATTTTGTTCAGGTTATTTAATGTTAATCTGATTACTTAAGAGGAAAGTGATATTTACCATTGAAGAAAAATTAAAATTACATTTAAATTTGCTGTAAATAAATGCTATTTGTTTTATATTTTTCAAAATCCTTTTTGATGCAGTTTGGGTATTTCTCAAAATTGTCTTCCTCTTCACTAAGGGGCTGTTTTGCATTGCAAAATTTTAAATGAAAAACACGTGTTGTGGACAAAGCCTCGCAGAAAACGCCTTGCTGCTAACAGGGCAAAAATGGATTTTGAGGGGCCTGAGGTAGTGAACTAAGGGATCTTGTCTCATGGTGGCCTCATCCTCTGTGCTGTAGGTGGCTTTCCGCAACCTGGTGCCTTCTAGATGCTTTGTACTGCAATTGCCATCATTTCTGACCATTGGCCATACTTGCTGAGGCTGGCGAACGTTGTGTAAAGCAGCTGCAGGGCATCAGGCTGAGAGAGGCTGCTGTGAGAGGATGCCGTCATGTTGCATGACAGGGTGAGAGTGGGATGTTTGGAGTTGTGTGCAGATCTTGCAAGTGTGAAAAACTTTTTGTAATGCTGCAATGTATATATTTTCTCTGTGCATTGTAATCACTTCCAATTGCTTTTTTAGAACTGTGTTGTTGAGGTGTTTTGCTTGCTGCTCTGATCTTTGTGTGCTTTTGGTGGTGAATTGCTAGAAACAAAACCTTCTTACTTCCCTTACTTTTCTTCTTTCTTAATGCTGTCCTAGGAACTAAAAGAAAAGTAAGTACCTGCTAGCAATAATCTTATTTTCTTGCTTCATTTGTTATCACCAAGAATTATTCCCACTAAGTCTAGTGTACTGGGTTTTAAATAGGTGCTGTAACTTCCACATAATCATTGTGCATTTGTGCTTTTCATTTTTATGCTTGGGCTTATTTGGAGTTAGTGAGCAGGTAGCATCTAAAGTCAACGGGGAAATGCTTTTTTGCAGTGCTTACCCAGTAAACCTTTCGGCCAGACACAGATGCTCAGCTCAGTGCACTTCACAGGGCTGTTGTTGGCAAGGATAAAATGTCAAGGAACCAGAGGATTATGTATGCCCCTTTGAGTTCCTTAAAAGGAAAAATGCAGGATATAAATAGAACAAGTAAATACACTGTATAGCCTCCTATGAAAACACGTACCTCTTGCTTTAGCAAAATTCCTGCTGCTACTTGAGGGGCTTTTTCCTTTACAGCTGCTGTTAGCTGAGTAAATGTTTCCTTAAGAGCCATTGCTGGATCCCTCTTGGATACAGACTTCTTTTTGTCACATGGCCAGAATTTGATCTTGGGATGGGAGGGTCTTTTTTGGTGTGCTTGAACACTTGTGAAAATAGGTGAATTATTAAATAACATTTGGGAGCAAGGGAGTTTTTTCCTACTTAATTTTCCTTCATAAGCAATGGCTCCTTTCCCCCAGTTCAATTCAGATAATTGATGGCTGTGGCAGAATCCAATCCTTTATCGGTGCCTGTTTCAGCCTTCTGTTACTGTCCTTTTCTCTCCCGCTACCCCCTGCCCCCAGTTCTTGCTTCTGATTCCAAACCATGGCGTGCTCTTTCCCATCTGTGTCAGATAGTGCTTCCCTTCCCTTTCTAGAGGAAAATTTCAGTATCCAGATTTCTTTTAGATTGCTTTGTCTCCTGAGCTAAGGTAATATTTCTTAAATGGCTTTTCCAATATGAGATAAACCGCTTATTCCTTTTTGAAGTGTGCAACTCTAGAGATATTTTGAAGCCAGGAGTCTTTGGCTACAGTGCACCTGGATCCCAGTTTGTGTGGTTTACTGAAAATTTGCCGGTCCCGTCATCCCCTGCAGTGGGAAAGGAGATTAAACAATGTGCAAGGAAAGGCAGGATTTCCCTGCGTCTTGGGTTTTCCTCTCCTAAGTAGTATTGTGATGTCACTGCTAGTCACAATTCCTCAGACACACAGCCTCCTCCCATGGCCTTGGTTGTGGAGCCCACAGCTTGTCACCATCTTGTTTTGAAAGTGGGATTGATAGATCTTCCATGGGGTCAGGTTTCCAAGTTTGTGAAGTAAGATTTTCATTTCAAGTCATCTGCAGTAAGTTGGGAAAATATTAAAATGCTTTGAAGGAAACACTAGGTTCATTTAAACAATAACTGCTTTGGAGGTGTCTAGTGCTCCTATCTTGCTCAGGTTAATTTATGATAGAATTTCCTTTGGAAATTACACATTCACATTGTTTTTCCAAGACATACCCCCAAGATTTCATGCTGCACCAAGAACTGAGTAACTTTTGTCAGATCTTCTGACCCGACCAGTAATGGCTCTTTCTCTAAACACTTCTCCAAACACTTTCCTAGTGCCAGCCCTCTTGAGATGCAGGACTTCCTTGAGATATAGATTGGATGAAGCTTAGCAGTGGACGCTTTGGCATTCAAACCAGAAATCCATTTTTCCCTCATGGAGTTGCTGCTGTGTATGCTGCTGCTGACTAGTTCATCCAAGTTGTATTTGTACGGGATTCCCTCTTGTGAAAGTCATATAAGTCCTCCATGTTCCGATTTGTTTGTTCCTGTGAAGCATTATTTACAGTTTAATTCTGATGCTGATGGGATATGTAACAACTTGGCCATTAAAGCTTTTCAAGTAATAAATATAATTTGAGGCCATGGATAAAAGTTTTGCTGTTTAATGCTAACAAAAGATCAAGATGGATCTGGCTCTTGTTTAACAGATGTTAATGTACTAGACAGTATTTGAACTTCAAGGTGCAGGTTTAACCTCTGGCAGAATTCTTCATAAAACCTCACAAACCCTGGCCCAAAATAAGATAATTTCCTGATCTGCCTTGGCTGTGTCCCTGTGCCTGGTGGCTTTTTTATATATTTCACGGTACCAGGTAATTTTCTAAAGACAGAGGGTGCCAATCACATCCACATCTTGCTGTTGCTCACCCTTCCGCAGGCTGGCACCCTCCAGATAATTTTGACAGCAACTTTCAGCATCCCGGGCCATTGGCCATGATGCCTAGGGCTAATGGAAGATCCCAGGACACATTGCTCAATTCACTGAATGTGTAAAGGACTCTGGTTCTCTCTTTACCTGGTAACCAAACAATATGTTAGATGGGGGTAAAATACGACTTTACAGAGAGAGCCTTTTGAAGGAGCTGGTCTCAGGCAGTTTTCAAAACAGTAACATGAGCTGGGCTCAGAATGAGCTGTGTAGGCCCTCAGAGCTCCAGTAATACTAGCATGACTGTGCATACATGTGACCAGTAGCACCTGCTGCATGCCATTTGTATGTCTTAGTTATTTTTGCAACTGTATTATTGTGCTTGTCTCTTAATGCTGCCACCCATTTGGAAGATGAGGACAAGAAAGCTGCTTTATCCAACAGAAAAGGTCTGGCTGGACAAGTACAAGTACGATGAGGCGGAGAGACTCTTCTATGAACGGGAAGCGACTCTGGCAGCCTCTGCTGCCAGAACCTGCCAAGCAGTGGTGGCAGTGAATGGTTTTTGCCATGAGGAGCCCGTGGAGGAAGAGCTGAAAGAAGTCCTGCGGAAGGGAAGAAATGGGAAGGAACCAAGGAAAAGGAGGTGTATCGCCAAAGCAAGACCTTCGGGCCTGAAAGTAGACGCTGTCTTGGCTGGGTTGTTAGCTGACCACGTGTGGCTTGACAAGCCTCTCTTTGACCAGGCAGAAGCTGCCTACAGAAAGAAACTTGCCGAAGCCTCGTCACAGGCAGCCCCCGAGAAGCCCCCAGATGCTGGGCAGGCTGCATTAGTGCCCCGGCCAGAAGCAGAATTCCTCCAAGCTGGTGCTTGGCCATGGAGAAACCTGGCTGTCTTAAACTGTGCCCACGGCAGCCTGATGGCCTGCCACCACATCGTGCAGGACATTTGGGTCAACAAGTCCAGCTTTGATAATGCAGAGAAGTCGTTTATTGAAAGGACCCAGCTGGTGGTTCTCCCACATTTCCTCAAGCTCCCCTCTGCGCCATCACACAGTAGCATAGGGCAAAAGACACCAGACGAGGGCTATGTGACGGCCCTGCCTACTCCCTCAACCCCAGTCCAGGCCACGGATGCCGGGGGTCCTGCCCACGCTTCCTCTGCCTCCCCAAGCCTGCCTGACGTGTCGAACCAGACGGTGAATGGCAAACCGCAGGTGTCCTGTTTGCAGGCCCTGCTTTCAGAGGTGTGGCTGGAGAAACCTCTCTATGATGATGCAGAGAGAAGCTTCTACGCAAACATGTTCGACGGGCACCCTCCAGGAAAGGTGCGGCTGCAGGAACGCGGGCGGCCCGAGTCCTCCAAGAGGAACCGGAAGGACAAAAAGGGCCGCAGCACGGGGAAGCCGTCCGCGGGCAAGAGGGGGAACAGCTCCATGGCCTCCGCCGCCGTATCTCCAGATGGGGTGCGCTCTCCGCCTACCTGGTGTTTCGTGCACAAGGACAGCGAGTCTTCCTGGTTCAGCAAGCCTGCGTATGACAGTGCCGAGGCGCAGTTCTATGCGTCCAAAGCCTCACGGCTGGCGGAAAAGCAAGAGCGCTCCAGGAAGTCTGAGACGGCATTAGCAGAGCCGCCGCAGCCTGCTGCCCAGGTGTCAAGTGCTCCGGAGCCTCATACTAAGTAGGAAAAGTTTGTTCTGGGGTAACCTTCCCACACCTAACGGGACAGTAGAGGTGGAGCTGCTTCTGCATGTGGAAGAGCTTCTGGATGGATGTAAAGGTGGCCCACGTGGGGGTGGGGTGTCCGCGGTCCTTGTAGGGAAATGGCAGTAGGCCAGGATGTAAGGCCGTGCTCATTTAGCTCCTGCCAGGATCGGAGCAGCGGAGGAAATGCTTCAGTGAGTTGTGCTCCTCAGTTGCAGTCCATCTTCCTTGAGCCTCTGAATTCCCATTCAGAACAAGAGAACTGCAAGGTGCAGGGATTTGGGAGGGGGTGTTGGTGATTTAGTTGGGTCATCAGTGGCCTTCCAGGTAACTAATGTGGGTTGGAAAGGTGCTCTCCTCCCTTGCCATGTGCTTCTTTGCACAGCATGACTCCTCATTTGCCTAATCTGAGTGAGTGTGACCCAACCCATTTGGACTTGGTCTGAGAAATCTGTGAAATGCTGCGTTTTGGATAGGACAGATGCTGAATCAGTCCTTCTTGGCTCTCCCAAACAGTGGCTCTGTTGCGCTGTCTCGAGAAGTATAATCCAGTTTGCCACTTAGCCACACTTAGAGCTGTTTTGAGAAGCGAAGGGAAATGGCTCAATTTCAATAGGTTTGGACTAATCCTGAAAGATTGTGGACATCTATGTGAGTAAAATAAAACAGCTCAGATACCGGCGAAATGTACCTCCCCCAAAACTGCAAATTCTGATGCTTCAGGTCAGCCTCTCCTCCTGCCCTCTTAATTCTCCACTTTGTGATCCTTTTCCTGCTGTCCTTCCTGAAAGTATCCAAGTAGTTTCCCGTCTTATATTGCATTCCCTATCTATTCCCGTGTTTCTAAGGCATTAAGTGATGGGACGGCATATTAAAACTCCAAACAAACAAACAAACAAACAAACAAACAGAAAGCATTTAACTGCCCTTGATTATGAATTTCACTGCCCCATCCAAAATTTTTGCATCAGTTTATGCATGCATTTCCTTCTACTTTCTGGGCACACCTTGTGCCCCCCCCCCCTTTACTACTAAACAACTTGGAAGGCATGGCATCCATGAACAGAAAGGTGGAGCGAGCTCTTATGTTCCTGGTCAATGAAATTTGCTCTGCTGTGTAGTTTGCATTAGGTTGAGCAAGGGAGTGCTTCCATGGCACTCCCTTTCTTCCGGCCATGCAGCATCACTGAGGTAACATGCTTGGATGTTGCACAGCATCAGCAGATCCGGTGCCATAGCGACCGTCGCGACTTGGTGTGTGTTTTGTGCCATTCTAGGAAGCATTAAGCAGAGTCAGGGAAGGAATGTTTCTATGCATGTTCATTTCTTTGAGGCAGCTTTTTTAAAGCGGTGGTTGTGTTACAGAATGTATAGATTGTCAGGGGTCTTTATGTCCATCTGAAATTAGTTATACTGATTCTCAAAAGTAATAAAAAAGAAAGTTTGTTTATATTCTTCTGTCATGCCGAATGCAGGGTGGAGCCAAGTGAATGAGCGAGACATTCTTGGTCTCCTGCGGCCTTTCCATCGGGGGTGGGAGGGGGCATTAGTGAGCTGCTCCTGGATGTGATCCTAAGGGGAGGAGGGACCTCCTCTTTGGCTAATGGGGTCCTCACATCTGCACTGATTCCGAGATAATTAGTCTGTCTTTCTTTGCAGAAAAATGGCAACCAGTTTCCTCATGCATGAGAAGATCTGGTTTGACAAGCTCAAATATGACGATGCTGAGAAGAGATACTACGAGCAAAAGAACGGTCCCGCCTGTAGCCCGCCTGGCCAGCAGGTAAGGCAGTGTAGAAAATCGGCTTCTGGGGGACCCGCCTCTACCTGGGCGCCAGAGTCCTGGCAGAGTTCTCGGCCAGTGCCTGCCGACCACAGGGGGGGCCCTGTTGCGTGCAGGTCAAGGTGTCGCCTAGGCCAGCAGCCAGCAGTAGCCAGCCAGGTGGCCCTGGGAGCACCAGTGTGGGCCAGAGAGCAGTGGGCACCCGCCCACACAGAGGGTGACCTCCAGCAACTGGCATTCGGCAGCCGCTGCCCTGCCTCCACCGAGGTTGCTGCCTGTGCAGCCTGCAAAGGAATATCCTAAGTGGAGCGCATGTAGGCCGGTAACGGGGCATTCGTGGCACCCGTGTCCGGCCTGCCACCTTCTTGCCAAGTAAAGGGTCGGGTTGCAGGGCCTTCCCCACAGCCCCTCCCCATGCAAAGTCGTTTGGAATATGTCTCGGCGCCCTAGGGCTCTGTTTGGGAGCGTGAGTGAGTGGGAGAGACCTTCCATCCCTGGTGCCTTGGCTATTCCCGAAGGGAGACAGAGCGTGTTCTCCTCACTCTTATTCATGAAGAAGAGCATTTTGATCTTTTTTGCGGCGGGGGGGAGACAGCTTATGCCCCCATGGGTAAAAATAGGACAGTCTCTGCCCAGAGGCTTCTAATCTAACTGGTGCAACACAAAGGAGGAAGAAAGGCCGGGGAAAGCAGACTCAACCAATTCCTTGTCAACAAGTCATTCTCACAATGGGAAGCCGGAAGGGATGCTGCTCAGGGGGAGAAGGAGCAGCTGTTCCCCCTGCCTATTATTCTTCTACTTGTCCAGGCAACTTCGTGTAGTTTCTGTTTGGAACCCCCAGAAGCAACTTGTAAATTCCTAGCTTGCTCTGGGGGATTGCTGTAATTTCCTAACTTGATGTCCCCAGTTTTATTTATGTTAAAAATTCTTTCTGAGTTCTCCTCAGATTCACCCTATGTCAGATTTATTATTATTATTATTATTATTATTATCCCGCCCTATACGCAAAAGCGTCTGCACTTGGTGCTTTTTGGTCTTGTAGGCGATTTTCCTGCGAATGGAAGGATGTTGTGCATTGAAGGCATCTTGTATGCTACTGAAGAGAAAAATGAAGGCACATTCAAATTTCTTGCCACAGCCTGGCTTAGGTTTATAAGAACACCAGATGGCAAAGTTTGGGCTCACAGGCTTTCTTCCCATTCACCAGTGTGTGCGAGGGACGGAGGGACTTGAAGCTTCCAGGTGGAGTTTGTAACACGCCACAGTTTCCCACTTTTGCTACAATATAAGTAACTGGTTTGTTCAAAACAGGATGCAGAGGTAGTTTGATTTCTGAAGGGGTTTGTCTAAATCACCATTTCCAGTGTCCAGACTAAACAGAAACCTGGCTTGTTACCAATGGCAACTGAAAGCTTTAAGTTTCTTCCCATCGTGGCACATTCTTGAAATGCTAAACCATGGGTTTGTGTTACATCTGAAGGTGGCTGCTTGTTGGCTTCAGTTCTTCCGCCTTCCTCATTCCTCCTGCTTACTCAGAAAGGACTGCAGAGGGAGTAAAAAAACCTGACACCCCTTGCTTTTGAACATAGACAGCTTGATTTCTTGGGGTTGATAAGAATTTTTGCAGACTACCTGGAAAACATGGAAAACATGAAAATATCAGCAAACAAAGTTTTGGTCTCTCCCAGTGCCCTTCAGCATAAACTGCACATTCCTGAAAAGTAACCATTGATCTTGTTATAGAAGGCCTGAAAAGAAGGGAGAAGTGAAGCCAGTGCTTCTAAACTCACTCTCTCACTCGCTCACTCTTTCTTACAATCATTTGCTGCCCTTTAGCAAAGGTGTTGAATAAGCAGTTGTCAGAAATCGGCACGCTCTTTTCTCCACTGTAGGCTTACTCAACGCCTCTGCATCTGTGTGTGCAGGATATTTATTTTACTTTCTTCCAAACCTAGAAAAGCAAATGAGGGCCCCTCTCTCACAACACTGGCGGGACAGCCTCCCAATGAGCCAAGGCTGAAAGCAAAGTTCAGACTAAATTTCCAGGAGGATGGAGTTTTGCAACAGTTTGAACGGTTTCCTGCATGAAGCATGCAAGTCTGAATCTCTGCCATTTTTTCCTGGCAGAGATCACGTGTGTGGTGACGAGGGTCATAGAGGGCAGCATGTGAAAATGGAAAAGGCTGCTAATTTAATGATGTGTGAAGCAGCGAAGCTTTCTGTTTCTTGCCTGAATAGTAGTGTTTGGGCTCGACAAGCTACATTATCTTTGCTGCTCTGCTTACAGTATTATAAGAACAAGAAATGTCTTTGCACAAGTCATCTCTCAGTGTTTACACAGGCATGGATCTTGGAGGGGCAGGATGTAAGTGAAGTAGCTTGCGCTAGCAACTGTGCCAAGGGGCAGTTCAGCAGCAACCAGGCGGTTGTCTTCTCGGGGTCATTGTGGGAACTGCCTCTTGAGTTAGGAGTTTGGAGCAAGAGAAATGCCCTAGCCAGGGCCGCCAAGTTGAGGGAACCCTGCTTAAACTTGCATCCTGAACTCTTGCCGCTGTAGAAAGACGCCTGCTTGTGCCGATACACATACAGGTTGGTGCTTTGCAGGGTGCATGCCCAGAAATGGATCAGTGGCTTGAAAGCCGGGTGCTGCGAGAAAGAGGTCTTCAGAATTACCATTCGTCAGCCTTCAGTGTGTCATATAGTTGTGGGGGATGCAGCTCTTCCGATGTTGGACACGATCTCCTAGAAGCCCCCACCAGCCAGCTGGTCCCGTGGTGAAGGATGCTGGTGTTGGCGCCAAACATCCGGAGAGCCACTGCCTGCCCACCCTGCCATATAGCACTGCCGTGCCTTCCCCCAGCATGAGTGGGAATCCCTCGGTGCAGTTCGCGCCACCCTCAGTCTCAGAGCTTCCAGCATTATCTGGAAAGCCCCGTACCTGAGACCTGATTGGCTAGGGAGCCTGGAGGGTGAGGTGTGTGGCAGCAAGATTAACAGGGCTGTCCTGCAGTTCCAGTTATTCTGAGAGCTGACCGAGGGCCTGTTGTGCATTTGTTGCGTGCAAGATTGCAGTGCGCCTCCTAGGCTCCCCCCCCCCCACCATGGAAGGTGCCCCAAATGTCAGGTTCAGTAAAACATGTACATACTCTCTGATGCATGCCGATCTCCGGGGGGGGGGGTGCGAGCAAGAATGTCACGCACGCCGTCATCTCTTGCACTGTCGCTGTCAGCCAGGTTCATGGCTTTCCCGTCCAGCAGCAATCATGACGTGAAGAGACGCAGTCCATGCCATGATCTCCTCCTGATGGAAGTGAGCAATGCCGCATCCCACACCGATGAGCGTCCTGAGAAACCGCACCTCAGAAGGCTCCTCCTGCCGTCATGGTGGCAGGTGCTTGCCAATACGTGGGCCGCAGCCTGGCACACTCTGTCCTCCCGTGGCTCGCAGACCCCGCTCCTAATAGCCCCAGCCGACTTGCGTGCGCCACCTTGTTTCCCACCCTGCCCCTCTCGTCCTTGACGGCGCAATGGCAGGTTTTGTTTCCTTTTGTCAGATCTTGGAATTGCAAGCAAGGTCTGTATCCGGCATTGTCCTAGTACAAATGTGTTGGCAGAAAGGGATGTCCTTTCCCCTGAAGACCCAGCGCCTTTTATGCTGCCCTAAAATCTGTGCTGGAGGATTTGCCAGCCCTCCAGAGCAGGTCTTGAGGGTGCTCGGGAGGCGGGGGGTTGCGTTCCGCATGGTGCTGCGAGTGGAACCGCTTCTGCCAGTGGAGTGACAGGCTTGGCTCTGTCCAGAATCTCCTTCAAAATACTGCTGTGAACTTCTCGTCCATGATTTGGACTTCAGGTTTAGTGGATAATATGTGAAGCACTGATACTGCGATGCCTGCCAGAACTTGTGACGATTTGGGGTTTAACTGTTTTGTTTCTCAGCTTTTTCCTCCACCCTGTATACATCCATTCAGAACGGGCACTGTACCAAGTTCGCACATGCACTTTGTCAGGACAAAACCACGCATGCGGACAGGGCTGGTTGTGCTGTGCATCGCTGTACCCACCAGTCCTAGGCAAGAGTTGGAATGCTGCATTGCCTGGCTCTTGGATCCTCCTGCCCTGGGGTTTTTTCCAAAAACAGCCTGGATGTTGTTGCTGGCAGCGTGGCCATCCCATTCCGCAGGTGTTTTTCTAGGCTCACGGGCGTTTTTCATGGCTAAACTGTCTTACTCCTTTCATGTGCTCCACCTTCAGTAATTTCTCCTGTTTCTGACTGTATCTTTAAAAAAAACCACTTGGTTCTTTCTGCACTGTTTGCAGGAGAACGGAGCCAGCCTGATCCTCCGCGACATTGCCAGAGCCAGGGAGAATATCCAGAAGTCGCTGGCCGGAGTGAGTACCTGGGCGCTCTCTCACCAGCTGGCTAACTGCATTCATTTTTCCTAGCTGTGGCATATCTCACAGATACACCCCTCTCTGCTCCTGCTGTGATTGATTTTTCCCATAGACTGTGCGTGTGTAGCCTTCCCTACCCAGTGAAGTGGGTGGAAAATTTTCAGAGGGAAGTGTTCCATTTCTTAAATGTGAATGCAGTGTTTGGCAAGATTGGCAATTCCAGAATTGTAGGTGAGTGGTCATCGGCATATGACACACGGTTCCTTAGGCTGTTGAAATGTACTACTGCGTCAACCGTTTTCAGTGCTTTTCCCCCCTTGAATTTAAGCAGCAAAGGGAAGTACAGGTATTGCCTTTAATTTTATTCCAATAAAATGTCTACTTAATATAATACTAAAACAATTAGTGTTCTTTCATGCTTTCTTCAGCTATTTCTGGACAATTACTGGTAGTACATTGGGACCATACCCAGTTTTGTTTAAAGCTTTGTTCACCAGATACAAGTATGGTGGACATGCCAACTTGCTCTCTCTTTAAGGTATCAGAAAATAAAACAGCTTTATTACTGGTGTGAATTACCGCGAATTAGCTTTATTTCCACAGAAGATGTTCTGAAAGAACCCAGTCACTTTTCTCAGAGGGGGCTGATGAGGTGGGGCGAGTCCTGTCATGTCAGCAGCACCCTGATGCAGAGAGGCAAGCTGGAGATCCCGCTTGCATGTCCGCAGACGAAAACCAGAGAACACGGGTGTGGCTGGTGCCTTCAGTCCTTCCTTTAGGGTCGGGCCACGCGGTCACGAGAGCCATCACTCAGGGCAGCCCTGGCTGGGTGCTCCATTTCAGAGGCAGGTGGAAAGCTGCCTGCATGGGCAAACCCAAGATGAATAACAGCAGTAATTCTGGCTGTGGATACAGCACTGAGCTGCCCGGGGGCTGTTCTGCTCTGTCGTCCTGCTGCGCGATAGCAGCGGGGCATTTGTGATCTAGTGGGGGATTCGGGTGTGCATTTCCCCACCTACCCACTTCTCAGTCTGCGTCCTTACCTGCCCAGGGCTTGTTGAACTAGGCCGAGCCAATGGGACACCATGGAGAGAACGGCTGGCCAGTCAGCAGCAGAATGCACTTGAGCGGGCGTATTCTGGACAGCCACCTCTATCCAGACACCTCGTTCCCTGTTAGGACATGTGCCAAAAGGTGTCTTTTCCTTCTGCCTCTCGGGATCTCAGCTGGGTTAGCTCTGAATTTCTACTCCAAAGTTGCAGTGGGTGTCTTAGGCTGAGTTCACAAAAGCCAAGGCAAACTGTCCAGGCTTTTTCTCTTGAGGTCAGTTGCATTTCCTTTGGCGTGCTTGACGTGGCTTCCTTTTGGTCCCCGCACAGGTGATCATCCAGGCAGGTCATGGGGCCAGACCTCGCAGCTTTAGCAGCAGCACTGCATCAGAACACCTGGTGCCTTAGGTGCCACTGCCAGGGAAGGCAGGCTTCGCCCTCGGGCTAATGCACTTTTGAATTCACAAGTGATTCCCATATCCTTTCTCAGAAGGAGAATCTTGTTGAATTGCAGCAGTGAGAAAATAGCCTAGCTTTCTTCTCATGTGCTTTTTAGAAGGGAAGCGGTTGGCAGCTCAAATGCACTGTGCCGAATCCTGCACACTCCAGCATGTCTGAATGTCCAGGACTCTTGGTGTTCTGCATTAAATTCCAGTAATATTGTGTTGGTGCCCACGCCAGCACGGCTAGGCCTCCTGCATCTGGAATAGATGCATTTCTCTGAGTGTAAGATCTCAGGACTCTGACTCACCTCAAGCCGAAGACACCTATGCCAGGATGTAAATTTGGAAATAAATGGCACGTGGTGTTCTTGCATACAAATATCAAACAAATTAGGATGCCAACGCAAACAGATACAGACACAAACATCACAGTGCTATTAAGCTAGATACAAGAAGGGCCACACAACAAGGCCAGGTAGAAATGTTCAGATCACCAGGAAGGAAACTAGGACATTAAATAAAGTGGAATGTCGCCACCAGAGACGACAGTCTCTGGTGGCGGAATCCGCCTTCCAGAGACTGGTTCACTTGTCACTCAGGCATCCCCCATGTTATGGAAACCAGAATGCTGACTATCGCAAGTTTTACGCAGCTATATGATTTTGATTTAGATGGCATCTCTTCATCCTTACTGCAGTAGTTCAGTCTGAGGAGGAGGTATAAATACCATGAGTTGCCTAAAAAGTATATAGAGGCAGTCTAGCTGCCATATCCTGGTTCTTTTATGGAAAACTCCCTTTTTTCGCTGAATTTAGAAGGTGCTTCATAATCATTGATTTGATTATGATTACATACCGTATTTTGATCTGTTTATGTATCTGATATGTGGGGCTGCTAGTTACATAATGAGAAAATATTTGGAGTAAGTCAAGAAGAAAGGACAAAGTTGTTCTCAGGGATTAGTTTCTGAAAAACACTACTATCTCACGATAGGACCTCCATTTTGAAAGGCGAGGCTTTGCTCTGTAGAAACCCGGTGCATCAAGTCAAGCGCTGCTCTGTGGCCGGCCGTCTGTAGCCCTGCTGAGAGACTCCCTGGATTAAAAGCTGTGCGCCACGTGTGGGTGCCAGGGGGTGTCGCTCTGCATGAGGATGGGGATTGGAGCTGGAAAGGCAGGTCTGACCGCGTGGATGGAGGTCACGGAAGGCAGACTGATGCTGCTCTCTGCCACCCTGCCGTGGCCACGTGGGCACCAGCCCCTCCATTTCTGTTGTGAGTCTTCGGAAGAGATGAATAGTCGTAGGAGGGAGCAGGAGCTGTCTTCTTCCAGGCAGGGAAAACGCGTGTGTTGGTAGCAGCAGCTCCGGAAGGCATCCCCGGATGATCTCGGCCCTCACTCCCTTCCTGGGTGCCGGTTCATGGGGCAAGGCCCAGGCCTCGCCCACCCTGCTCTCCCGTCCTCTCTGAATGGGAAAGGGAACGGATCTTTTCCCCTAAAGAGATCAGTTCTTGGAAAGGCTGGCAGATGTCTATGTGAAAGATAGAAAAATGTACTCTAAGGTATTGGGAGAGAATCTGTTGTGCGCTTTGAAGGGCAGGAACTGGAAAAGACCCTGCCCCTCATTGGCTTTTGACACACGAGCTGATTGGTGAGAGCCTAAGGAACTTCCTTCTATTTCTAGAAAAAAACTGCATCTTGTGTCGACCTGATGCTTCAGCCATCTTCAGGGCGCTGAAGCCGGTCCAGGCTTGGAGGCTGAACTAGGTGGCGGTGACGCTTTGTCACCTGGCACATAGATGTGGGAATTGAGATGTGCCGGTGGCAGACGAGGCACATCTTTTGCACTGTCCCATTTTGTACAGTTGATGGCGCTTTTTATGTTTTGCTTTTATCTGTTTGGTCGCAGCACTTTTGTTAAGAATACCTTATTTTCTGCTTATGTTGTGTATTAAGTAATCATTTCTGTTTTAAGCTGGCGAACAAATTATGTAGAGAGGAGGGGATGGGTGTCGCATCTCACAGTGGGCTTGATCTGAAACTCCCATTTTTATATTGCTGAAGTAAAGGGAGGGCAGATTCGGAAAGTGACTCCCTTGCCATCATTTTTTCTGCTACTATGTAATGTTGAAAATGCCTCTGAAACGGAGCCCAAAATTCTCTGTCTGACAGGTTCCGTAACTTTAAACATGGTCAGTAGGATAAATGTCCATATCTCAACCCTGCCAACTATAGACGTATCAAAATAATCAGTCTAGTGGTCACTTTGCTCTTTTTTACACCTGAGAAAATCTGGAACAGTTGCTCAGAAATTCCTTGATCGCCCCTTTTAAAATAGTATGGCAGTTTTGCGTGTTTTGGTTAGCTCAGGGCTTTTTGAGCGGTGGGATTCTCTTAGCTAGACTTTCCTGCCTGCTCTTTCCTACTTCCTTGTCCTAAATACCAATGACTCCTCTAGGATTAGCCGGCAGCGTATAATTTTTTTAAAAAAATAAAAAAATAAATAAAGTGACCGCTTCACCCGAGCTGTGCCATAGCCATGAACCTCCGTGCCGTGGCCTCTCCAGTCCGCTGCCAAGTTCTCCTTGGCAGCAGGGCCCCTTGAGCGGCAAGCTGTTCGCTTTGAGAGGCTCTGAGGTCCTCCTCGCGCTCAGCGCCAGTGGCCAGGTGGCTGCCGTCCATCTTGCCTCAAAGAGGCCCGGTCCTGTGGCCTTCCAGTGTCGTCTGCAAGGCGCGTTGGATTCCTCGGAGCCCCTCGGAAAGACCTGTGCTGCTGCTGCTGCTGCTGTGAGGACACACGTGGACGTTGGAGAGGCCGGAGAGGGGGTGGCCGGGGCTGTCACCCAGCCCCGACCCCCCCTTTCCCTTCCCAGCCCTAAAACTAGTCTGTTCAACACAGCCCCTGGAGTGGAGAGATGAGGCGAGACCGGGCCGCAGGTGCTGCTGCCGTGCCTGGCCCGGTGCCTCGGCATGCAGCGGTCCTGCGCCTTGCTTAGAAGCAGCCCCGGGAAGCCCCATCGTGAGTTCCCCATCCTGCCGCGTCTGCACTCGTGGAGACGCCCGAGGCACTGCTGCCCGGGCCCCGCTGAAGGCTGCCAGCAGGCACAGCAGGCGCAGCCGGCTTGCTGGCTTTAGGAAGGGAACTCCTGGTGCCGTTGTCTTCAGAGTGTGTGGGTGCGTCTGCTCATCCTTGCGTGTCCCCTCAAAGGGGTTCCTCTGGCCTTCTCACTTCAGCTTTAGAGCAGTTTGAGCTCTGCAGGGGCTGCGTTTTGCTCTCCGCTTCTGGAAGGGTCAGACTGATTATCCTGATGGGTTTCCAATTTAAAAAGAGGATTCCAGCAAGTACTGCAACTGAGCCTTAAGTGTAACAGATAGGAACGGCTTTTGATTCGGAGGTCCTGTTACTGGCATGTGTAAACTGAGCAGGCTCAGTGGCAAATGCGCTTGGGAGGGAAAAGATTTTGATAACTCAAGGAGTGGAGTGAGAGCTGCAGAGTGGAGGATCATGAAAGAGCAAAGGCATGGAGAGGCGGTAGGAAGGAGAAGGCCACGGAAATGCCAATTTAAATGGAAGACGGGCTGCAAGGCAAAACTGCAGTGCGAAGTTAAGCTGAAGCAGCGAAGCTGAGCATGCGTGACGTGACATGGCTTGAACGAAATAGGACAAAGATTTATGATTAACCCCAAACGAGGGCCCGAAGGAGATATTTATATCTCTGGAATCCAGCATCTGGCCGAGGTGCAATCATAAATCTTTGTCCTATTTCGTTCAAGCAGGTGGCAGGTTCCAAAGAGTGGCAGGTTCCAAATAAATTCAAATTGTTCTGGGAGCTTGCTTTTTAATGGGGGACAAGCAGGGTGTGAAAGCTTTGCTGCCCACCCTGATTCTCCGTGGTTTATGATAGCACAGGTCCTTGGGGAATGCAGGAGTTTTATTTTTTTATCTATTACAGCATTTTTATGCCGCCCCAGTCGCAGAAAGCCTTGTGGCGGCTTACAAAGCAGCACTGCAGCCTCCTCCTGTCCCGACTCCCCAGCTTGTCCGCTGCCCTGAGCTACGCTTGCTCCGGAGCTTTTGCTGAGGGGCACTGCTGAACCTCAAGCAAGGCGGCCGTGGACAGAAAAAGGCCTGCAGCGCCGAGCGTTCCCCAGGCCCCGCCGAGGGTTGCCCCGAGTGTGCGATGTCTCCGGGACAGGTTTTGTCCGCGTGTGGCGTGTCTTGGCTGCAAGGATTCTGTCTACTCCGCGCCAGCGTGGTGGGTGGCATGCCGGACTGGGTCTCTGGGTCCTGGCCCCTCAGCCATGGGGCTCCCTGGGTATCCTTGGAGCAGTCGCTTGCTCTCAGCCTCACCCGCCTCGTGGGCGCCTGTTGTGAGGATAACGGAGCAGTGGAGGACAGCATAAGCCGCCCTGGAAGGGAGAAGGCAGGATTAAGGGGCACAGTGCTAGTGACCATCCCCCTCATGAGACTCCGGCTATGATTAGCACTGACTGTGTTGCCAGGTGTGCCGGCGGTGGCCGTCCTGTCGCACTCGTGCCCTCTCGCACTCGCCTCGCCTCGCCGTTCCCGCCACCTGCCAGAAGCCTCAGGACAAGCTTGGCGGCGTTGGCCGTTTGCTTTGATCTGGGGTGGGGGTGGGGTTGCTGCCCCCCCATCTACCCCAAACCCAGGTTCTTCTGCAGTCAAAGGAAACAGCCCTCCGTGATGCTGCTTTTTGTATTGTTTTCCCCAGTTCACCGGCTTAACCTCAGCGTATTGTGTTCACTTAGAGTTTCTTTCCTAAAGCATGCTTTTTCGCATGTGGGTTTTGCTGTGTTTGCCTGCCCACAGCTGCATGAATGAATCTGAGTACACAGAATATTCTTTTACCAAGATAAAAAATGCTCTTGCCCTTTCCAGCTCAAGACAGTTTTGCAAAACCCTCACGAAGCCCCGCCTGCTCGTCGCAAGAAGCAGTCAGGTCGTGCGACTGTAAGTCGCTTGCGGGGTGGGAAGCACAATGCCTGTTTGTCTAGTTCAGCCTGAGGGCACTGTTGCTTGTACTAAGGTTCTTCCTTTTACTTCTGTCCCCCACCCGGCATCACATGGCTTTGCAAACTCTGTGCTTTATTATTAATCTCCCGTTTCAACACAGCTGTGCTTCTGGATTTTCCAAATTCCCACACGGATCCCCAGCAACCCTTCAGGAACTCCTTGTCAGCTGGAGAAAGAAATCTCCGCTATAAACATATACCCCAGTTCTCCCTTTATTTAGAAATGCCCATCCTGCTTGTGCAATAGGGTCTCACACACACACACACACACACACACACACACACACACACACACACTGACTACATGGGGCAGGGCTAAGAGCTGATCTCAGGCAACTTAGAGGCCCCGTGTTGCAGAGAGCTGCTTAAGCTGATGCGGTGGGCTTGGTCTGATGCTTCCCCCCCCCATTGAATCGTCTATGGAACTTACTTATTAATTAAATTTCTATCCCACCCATTTGCCAGAGTGATTCTCCTGCCTGTTCCATTTGCCAAGGGTGGAAATGCTGGTCCAGGGAAAGCAAGCCAAAGCCATGGCGCTTTGCATCCTGGCCGAGCTCTTTATACAAGAGTCCGAGCAGCTTGTGCTGACCCTGTCAAGACTCAGTGAACCGAGTCAGATGGCCCACCTTGCAGGATGGTTTTTGTTTGGGTTTGGTCTGGTCTTTTTGGCCTGAGTGGGAAGTAGATTCCTTGCTCGCTGGAGAAGCGCATATGCATCAGTTACGAGCATCACCGTCACATTCCAGGTGCTGGAAGCCAATCCACAGCAGAGCTGGTTAGGCACATGCGGAGGGAGCCCGTCTTGTGTGCACCAGATTCATCCTGGCTTTGCAGAACTAAGGCTGCCAGGCCTCTGCTGCTTGTCTTGTCCTTTCCGGTTGAAAACGCTTGGGTCTCCTCTGTCCCTTTCCTCCTGTGCTGCAGCTCTGTGTGTGTGTGGGGGGGGGAGGTGTCTCTCGTCTGATGACTGCGGCAGGCGGCCGGCCCTCACCCTCCTTCATGCTGTCCATTGCAGAGCGTGAGCAGCACCTCTTCCGCAGGGCCCGCAGGGGACCAAAGCGAGCTGGTCACCAGGATCGCACACCTGGAGCAGGAGAATCAGAGCCTGCACAGTGGTGAGTGGCCAGGCTGGGGAGCAGCCTGCAGCTGCGCCGGCAAATCCTCTGCAGACTCATCAGAAATAAGTCTGCACACTGCCTTTGTGGCTTGACTGCTGCGAGGAGCTAGGTGCCTCCCCAGGGGATGCTGACAGAAAAGCAGAAGGCGGGAGAGCTGGTCCTCCGCCCCTGCTTCCTTGGTTAATAACCCCTCTCTCCCACCTCCAGTGGTTTCCGACCTGCAGCTGGCCATCTCCAGGCTGGAATGTCGCTTGAGCATGCTGGAGAAGGCATCTACCTCCCACCACCCTTCCCCACCACCGCCCACACAGGTAAAGGTATTCGTGGAGGAGTCCTCATTCGTGTGTTACTTGCGTCATTCATTTGCAGGCAAAAACGCAGAGATTTTGCTTCTCCTTTCCCCCCCACGTAAGTTCTCCTGAGCAGAGTATGTTCTAGCCACGGTCCCCTCTTATCCCAGATGGGGCAGCCTGTGGCCCTCGAGGCAAGTACCTGGTCCAACCCACATGGGTCAGGGGGAGTCGGGTTACTTGCCTTCTGGGTCAGACCCGTCCACCAGCATCAATGAGAGAGCACAAGTGCGATGCCGTGCCTTGTCCTGATGGTTTTCAGACTTCCTTCTTTCCCACGCCTGCCACACCGGCTTGTTGGCCAAAGTACTGGCCATTGCAGAGGACTGGCGCATTGTTCCTACTGGCGCATCGTTCCAATGCTCCACTTTTGCATTCTGTTGCCTCCCATGTGAGCAAATGATATCCTCTGCAATGCTTCCATGTAGCGTCACATGGCAGGGAAGGATGGGTAATGGTGGACATTTGATTAATCAATTAATTTTCTAATTTGTATGCTGCTGAATAGCCTGACAGAGCTCTCTAAGCAGCTAACAACATTAAAAAAAACAGGTTAACATTACAGTTACTACAAGTACCGGGAGAGGAGGTGGGGGGGGAACCTGCTGGTGGTGATAGGTGTCGGCATAATGCACCCCACAGTTCGTTGCTCTGCATCAGCTGAGCTCTGTGCCCCCGCCCCCAGAGCATCCAGTGGGACGGGCTGAGGAGGGTTCTTGTGGTGCCCTGTGCTCCATGGGCCAGTTTTGTGTCAGCTACTCACAGGTTCCAGAAACGTACCGTTTGTGTTCACTTCACTCGCCTTCGCGTTCCTTGGCTTCTGGGAATTGCTTTCCATTTCCTTTGCTTTCCCTTGGTGTCAACCTTGTTTGGTATTCTCCTTGAAGCATGTCACCCCCATGAAGAAGGTGGAGCCACTGGCTGCTTTGTCCAGAAAAGTGGAGCTTCCGTCAAAGAGAAACTCTCCTGCCGCCGCCGCCGCTGCCGACGAAGAGGATGACGACATCGACCTGTTTGGCAGTGACGAGGAGGAGGAGGACCAGGAAGCTGCCCGGGTTCGGGAAGAACGGCTGAAGCAGTATGCAGAGAAGAAGTCCAAGAAGCCAGGCCTGATTGCCAAGTCCTCCATCCTCTTGGATGTCAAGCCGGTAAGCCCATCTTGTGCGCAGCTGAGGAATGGGTAAAGTTGGGAGAGCGTCCGGGTGTTTCCCATTTATGCAAAGGCACCTGGTGTGGCGTGGAAGCCGGCTGAAGCTGGCACATTACCATGACCACAGTGTCATATAAAATAAGCTATAAAAATATTAGATTTTAATAATTAAAACATTGAGAAGGTAAAAAGGTTTTAGCCTCGTGCAGAAAGGTATATAACATCGGTACCAGGTGTACCTATCTGGGGAGCTGGTTCCATAACCAGGGTGCCACAGCCGAAAAGACCCTTCTCCATGTAGCCACCTTCCTGATATCTCTCAACACGCTCCCGGAGGAGGACCTTTGATGATGAGCTTAGGGCAGTGGTGGCGAACCTGTGGCACGTGGGGCTGCAGTGGGCACGCAGAGTTCTCTCTGTTGGCACGCGAGCCAAGTTACCTCAGCAGCTGAGCATCGGATGACAGTGCACATAGGGGCCATGCGCCTGCTCGGAAAGGACTCGTGGCGCCAGGCAATGACGTCACAAGCGGCGACTCATTAGCCGCGACTCGTCCAAGCTTTTGCACGGCCGGTCAGTGAGCTGCTAAGGAGAGAGAGAGAGAGAGAGAGAGATACTTGGACTGGCTGTGAGGTGTTTTTTCTAAACTAAAACCACAGTTTTCAGGTTTTATTGTAGTGTTGGCACTTTGCAATAAATAAGTGGGTTTTGGGTTGCAGTTTGGGCACTCAGTCTCTAAAAGGTTCGCCACCACTGCCTTAGGGTCTGCACAGGTGTGTACAGGTGGAAACGTTCTGTCAGATATCCAGTTCTAAACCGTTTAGGGCCTTTAAGTTATTCTGCGTACCTTAAAGTGGGCCCAGAGTTCAGCCGGCAGCCAGCGAAGATGGAGTAACACGGGTTATGAGCTCAGGCCTCGGGGCTCTCATTAGGAAGTGAGCTGCTCTGTTTCTGAACCAACTGCCATTTCCAGGCCGGTTCTGGGAGCAGGCCCACTCAAGGCGCGCTGCAGGAGTCCAGTCGAGGTTGCCAGGGCCTGGGTCCCTGTTGCCAGGTTTTGCCTGTCCACATGGGCGCAGAGTTGGAAGATCAGCCGAGCTGATAAAAGGCACTCCTGGCCACAGAGCTCACCTGGTATTCCAGAGTCATCTCTGGGTCCAGAAGCTCACCCAACTTCAGATTGGCATCAAATCATGATCATTACCATCAAATGTAATGTGAATATATCGGAAAACAGCCTAAAACCAGAGCCGTCGTCCTCCATGGGCTTGACCAGGAGAGCCGCCTGATGTAGCGGCTAGTGTGTTGGGCTGGGGCTCAGGAGACCTGGGTCCTCGTCCCACGAGGCCATGAAGCTCCTTGGGCCAGTTGCTGACTTGGTCTAACCTACTGCACAGGGTTGTTGTGAGAAAGAAATGGGGAGGATGGGTTGCTTGGAAGAGGAGGCAAGATGAGATATCTTTTCAGAACAGAAGCAGGGGGCTGGGCATGGAAATACCCGAAGGCCTTGGAGGAGAGGGAGGAGGAGAACAGCGTGCAGTATTTTTGGAGCCAGTCCTGCTGCTCTGGCATTCACCCCCCAAGGCCGGATCTGTTCTGGATGACAGAACGCCTCCACACACGCCTCCATCGTCTGGTGGGTCTTGCTGCAGTAACCCCGGGCAGGCCCGGCGAGCGCCCCCAAGCCCAGCCAGTGCCGCCCGGCTCACAGGCGCTCCCGGTGTCGAGGCTGCGTAGACCTGCTCTCTCACCTGGTGGCGTGGATTGCCTGGTGGGCCACCCTTTCCAGAAAAGGTCGGCAGAATGTTGCCTCTGGCAAAAAGGCATTTGATAGAGAGCGCCTTGAAGGCAGCTGGAGCATCTAATGAAATGGCCAGTTTGAAGGGGTGTGCAAGAACTGGCATTAGTGAGAAACAACCCTCTTTGGTTTCTCCACTGTATTTGTTTGCTTTCGACAAGCTCCAGAGCATCTTTTATTCCTGTGAGTTGCCCTGCTTTCCCCTCGCTCTCTTCTCCTCTTGCCTCTGCCATTTAACTCTCTCCAGTGGTGCTCACCCTTTATTCTTCTCGGCCTTGGTTTCAGTGGGATGATGAAACAGACATGAGCAAGATGGAGGAATGCGTCCGATCCGTCCAGATGGATGGGCTGGTCTGGGGAGCCTCCAAGCTGGTCCCAGTGGGATACGGCATCAAGAAGCTCCAGATACAGTGTGTAGTGGAAGATGACAAAGTTGGGACTGATATACTGGAGGAAGAGATCACCAAGTTTGAAGATTATGTAAGTGTCCTTGGAGGGCTGTTGCTCTGGGCCATTCTGTTCCCGGGGCCTGGGTCACTTCGTTCTAATTTGGCTTTTCAGCTGGTAATATTTTACTGAACTTATTCAGACTGAGCTGCAAAATAGAGGAGGGAGGGAGGGAGGGAGGGAGATTCCATGGATGTTCCAACTGTATTTCTTTGCAAGGGGCCGGAGAGAGAACCCTCCCCATGCAATGCATATCCAGGCACTTCCCCCTCCCAGCTGGCATCACATAGTCTTGGGGGTGACTATTATCCAGAATGTGTCCATACTCGGCTGAAACTGAAGTTGGCCAGGGGCACATCAGTGGCAAACTAGTGCAAAGAAGGCCCTCTTTGACTGCGGACACGCCTTTCTTGTGTTGCTCAGGCCAGCTCGCTGTGCTGAGGGACCTGTGGGCAGGCTTGGCGGAGGTTGGGCCTGGGCACTCTCCCAGTTCTGACCATTCTCCCTCAGTTTCCTCCGTTCCACTGGCAGCTTTAGTCACCAAGCACAGTGTGTGTGAAGGGAGAGGTCCCTCGTGCACTCACGGGTTTGAGACTTTCAGTCTGCCACAGAGCAATGCTCACGCCGAGCCTTGTTATCCAGACGTGTTAACCTTTCAGACGAACCCGTACGCCACTTTCTACTGATGCCACGGTCCTCTGGAGCCATCATTAGTGGTTAGATGGATCCAGTCTGCTTTGCCAGGTGCCAGAGCTGAAAGCCCCAGAAACCTTTGTGGGTGGACCAGTGAGGCCTTGACCCGTGCCGCTAATTCAGGCCGCGTCTCCCAGGCTGGGTGGGCTCTTAGACTGATGCTGGGACAGGGCTGCAGGGCCTGTGGAGCTGGACGTCGACTTGCCGGGACTGCCGAAAGGTTGCTTCTGAGCATCTGACCGTGCCGCAACGCCTCTTTCTTTGCTCTTTTCCCTTCAGGTGCAGAGCGTTGACATCGCTGCTTTCAACAAGATCTAACAGCGACCCTTTTCACTTTCCAGAGATAATAAAAGGTCAAGACTTGGACAGCAGCGCTGCGTGAGGGGCTGCTTCCTTAACCGCCGTGCTGCCAGCGTCTCTGTCCTTAGGGTTGCAGCTGAGGGGACGAAGCAAGCTTGCTCAGTTGCCATTTTGCGGCACTGCTTCCCGTATGCCTCGATCTTAGAGGCTCGCTGCCTGCCTGGAGCTGAGCCATGGTTCGGCCCAAATTTAAGAATGTCCTTTGGTCAGGGCAGCAGTAAGGAATTACTCCTCCAGCCAAAGAACTCGAGCTGCTGACAGCCGGCAGACCAGGGCTGTCAGCAGCTTTTCCCAGGCTCCCGCCTCCATTCAGGACGAGGGAGGCTGGCGCTGTGCAAGAAATCCCCGCTTGGATCCCCCCAGCAGTGGCCACTGTGGGCGGGCACAAGCCGATCTTGCCTTGCTCGAGAGGAGAGCAGGCCGGGGGCTGAGCACCCCTGGCCTCACTGCTCCTCCTCCCAGTGGGGAAGTGGGGCGGGAGGCACGCCTTCCTGTTTCTGCTTTGCACCGCCTTCCCAATATCCAGACAGGGCTTGGAAGAAGCGTGCTGCGGACCCCGGCGTCCTCCCAGCCACAGGAGGAGTGGCACCCATCCAAGGGGCCTGGACCATGGACCATGTTCAGCCGGGCGTCTTCCTGGAGAACCTGCTGGGCATTTCCCCGCTTCTTCCCTGCTGCCCAGCAGTGGCGCCTCTCGGCTGTCTAGCTGGGAACCCTCCCTGCCGTTCAGCCGTGGTGCATGAGGTGGCCCTTCCCTTCAGCCCCCGGCTCCAGGTCCTCCGCCCAGCGCTCCTGCCCATGCCGGGGAGCTGTGTTGCTCCTGGGCAGCCCTGCTCTGCCTGGCTTAGCTGGCACGGCAGTTGGGGAGGCGGGAGCCAGGAGCCGGCCATGGCAGCTTTCACCCCGTTATCCTGCCCCCTGCAGGGAGGACACCGCCTCCTGCTGCTCCGCCTGATCACCTGTCAGGCTGCACCTGCGGTGCACTGGAAAAATCCCTGGCGGGGAGAGCTCAGGTGTGCAGACTCCTCCATAGAGAACATTCCCTCCGTATTTGGAACTCTACTGCTGCTTCAGGAAAATAATCCCAGGGCAGTAGCGACAAGAAGGCAGACTCCCTGTGGCCCGCTCTTGAGTCGATGAGCCTGGCTTTCAGCCCCCGGCTGCTGCAGTGTCTTACTGGGGAAGCCTCAGCACACGGTGTTCTCGTGTCTGTGTTATCTGATGCCTGCGGTGTCCCAGGACTGCTGTGTCAGTCCTGCCCGAATAGACGGATGAGGCCTGAAATCAAGGAACCAGTCGCAGCCACTGCTTCGGGAATGGCCACGGGAGGTTTCTGGGCCGGGCCCGGCTGAAGAGACCAGCCGTGCCCAAGACTGGTTTCCAGGTCTTTGCTCGAGAAGAGCCCACTCACAGAGCATGTTCCAAGCGAAAGTTGTCGTGTTAAAAGATCGCCTGATAGAACAGAAGGAAACATTCCGTTCCAATTCTCTCTGGCAAGTGAGAAGATCAGTTGGCACGTGCGCATTCCTCAGGCCAAATTAGAGGTGGTGAACCCCTAAATGCAACACATGGGCCTCCTGTGAGCCGACCCCCAAGTCCACATCATTTCCACAGTACACCGGCAAGGAGGCGTGTGCCCTGGGGCTTCCCCAGCACTGACAGCCCTGCAGCTCCATCTACTGTGGGGCAAGCCCTGTTTGGCAGCTTTGCTGGGGGCTCCAAGTCCTGTGGACTTGGCACGCCCTGGCCATTCTCGGGAGTAGGGCCCCTGGTGTGGCCCTACAAGCCCCACAGAGAGTGAGGTGGTAGCTGGCTCTCTGCCAAAGCTGCTGTGTTGGTGCTCAGCAGTACACAAAGGGGGAGGGAGAGGATATCCCATGCCACAGTGTTCGCTTTTCTCAAAATGCGATGCCTTCCCCATCCTGGCACCCTGCAGGGGTGTTGGCCATGGTGGCAAAGAATTATGGGAGCTGCAGGCTGCATCTGGAGTTCCTTAATCCACAGAGGAGGATCCCATGTTCACTTAAACCAGGCATGTCCAAAGTCCGGCCCGGGGGCCAAATTTCAAATTTCGAGCGGCCCACAGCCTCTTCTCCCTGCCTGCTCAGCTTGTCACTCATCCCCGCCGGCCGGCATTTTTCCCTTCACCGCACAGCTATTCTCGCAGCTGTCCCCTGCTGCCTCCTGCTCCTTCAAGGCTGGTGGTTATATTTCACCAGAAGTTGGCAGTAGACCTGAGTCAGCACTCTCGCCGCCGCGTGACCCTTGTGACACAAGGCTTGTGTGCCCATTTCTAAAATGGCGACTGTAACTAAAAAAAGGAAAGTTGACAGCGAGGGCCGCCGCTTCCAGGACAAGTGGAAATTGGAGTATTTTTTCACTGAAATATGAAACAACTGTGTCTGTCTAATTTGCCAAGAGACTGGCTGTTTTCAAGGAATTCAGTATCAAGAGGCACTACCAGACGAAACATGCTAACTACAACAAGCTAACTGGGAACGAACGCGGTGAAAAATTGAAGGAACTGGAAGCTGCTTTAACGGTACAGCAGCGCTTTTTCACAAGAGCCCGTGAGTCAAATGAAAATGCCACAAAGGCGAGCTATGAGGTGGCAACGCTGATTGCCAAGCACTGCAAACCTTTTACTGAGGGTGAATTTATTAAAGACTGCGTGATGAAAATGGTGAAGATTTGTCCTGAGAAGAAGCAAGAGTTTGCCAATGTTTGCCTGGCTCGTAACACTGTGGTACGGAGAACTGAAGACGTTTCATCTGCTATTAAGAGACAGTTGAGGCAAAAGGAGTGGAGTTTGACTTTTTTTTGTTAGCCTACGACGAAAGCACGGATGCATCTGACACCACTCAGTTATTGATTTTTTTGAGAGGAGTGGACAATGACATGAACGTGAGTGAAGAGCTACTTGACCTCCAGAGCCTTAAGGACCAAACAAGAGGAACAGATTTATTTGTTTCTGTTTGTTCTGCCGTAGATGACATGAAACTACCGTGGAATAAAGTCACTGGGATTATTACAGATGGCGCACCTGCCATGGCTGGCGAGCGGAGTGGATTATCAACCCTAGTCTGTAACAAAGTCAGCGAAGAAGGAGGCAAAGCTATAAAACTCCACTGTATTATTCACCAACAAGTTCTCTGTGCCAAACATCTGAAATATGATCATGTTATGAAACTGGTGATGAAGGCTATTAATTATATTTGCTCCAAAGCCCTGTGCCACCGCCAGTTTCAACAGTTTCTACTTGACATCCAGGCTGAATACGGAGATGTTGTGTATCACAAAGAGGTAAGATGGCTCAGTTGGGGGTCTGCACTGCAGCGCTTCTACTCTCTTAGGGAGGAAATGGACAATTCTTGGCAAAAAAGGGACAACCGAAGCCAGAGCTATCTGATCCTGTTTGGCTGGCTGTTTTTGGATTTTTAGTTGACATAACATGACATCTGAACGTGCTGAACACGAGCCTTCAGGGGCAAAATGCAGTGGTAAGCCAACTGTATTCACGTATCAAAGCCTTTGGGACCAAGCTGCTACTTTTCCAAAGGCACCTGTCACAAATGCAGCCCAATACCACACATTTCCCATCGCTGCAGGAAATAATGACCAGTTTTCCACAGAACAATATATGTGCGCAAATAAGGAGGTATGAAGCAGACATCTCATCTCTGGCTGAGGAGTTTCAACAGCGCTTTCGGGATTTTGCAGCTATTGAAAAGGAGATCACGCTTTTTTCATCTCCTTTCTCTGGGGACCCTGATGACACTCCAGACCATCTGCAGCTGGAGCTCATTGAGCTGCAGTGTGACGCTGAGTGTTGCAGTCGGCACCAACAGCTCCCTCTTGTCAACTTTTACCGCCAGCTGGATAAAGACAGGTTCCAAGAGATTCGAACATTTGCTAAGAAAATGCTGAGCTTGTTTGGTTCGACATACTTGTGCGAGAAGACATTCTCAGTTATGAACATTAACAAGAACCACGAGGATGAGACTAAGTGACTTTCACCTGCGTGACATCTTCCGCATCAAAACCACTGTTTTTGAGCCAGACCTGGCCTATATAATGCAGTCGAGATCTCAGTATCACCCTTCACATTAGTGCAGTTAAGTTCTTTGTTTAGTCTTTCATAAAATAGTTCATTTGCATTTAATGTTAATGGTTCAAAGAATGTCAGGCTGAATGGTTGGCCCCCACACATTTTCACCTCACCAAATCTGGCCCTCCTTGCAAAAAGTTTGGACACCCCTGACTTAAACTAAAATTTCAATTCCAGCTTTTCATCATGATTTTCTGTGGGTATGGATGAAGGATTTGGAGCAAGCTTGATAGTTAAAGCTTTGGGGAGAGCCAGCTTGGCAGGGCCCAAATTCCCATTCAACCTCCGTTCTAGAGGCCGTGCCCCATTATTCTCCAATAAAAATGAGCAGTTGCTATTCAGCCATATGAAGCACCGTTCATTGCTGCCAAGTCCGGCAAGACTGCCAAGTCATAGAACAAAATCTCCCATCTTTTGTAGCTGACATCTTTTTGTTTTGTTTTTCTAAGGCACAGGAAAAAGCTAAGAGAGCTGTGTTGGCTCATTTAAAAAGAAAAGCGTTAAAATCTAGAGGTGGCAGTAGCCTTGGAATGAATTGAAGTGTAACAAAATGGTAAAATTTCATGTTCTGCTGAATCATACACCAGGCTTGCTATAAGGAGAAGCATTAGCAAGCCACACTTAGGGCTGATGTTGGAGTCTTAAAGCCTTCATTTAGAACTGGTATCAAGAGGAAGGCTGCAAGCTGAATTCTGGGATGTCCATTGAGATTAAGTAGCCCCCTGCCATTTCTTGATGCTGCAAACCCCTTGCGTTGCCCAGATCTGCCTTTTGCTTTAAAACATGGAAGTGTCTGGATAGGTTGACAGCGGAGATAAAGGGGAATGTGGCAGAGGATTAGCAAAGCTAGAAAATGATGTGAAGGGAATACTAGGTTAAAAATACCACATTTCTATACCACCCAAATGGACAACTAGAGAAGATTTTACCACCTGAAGGGGAACTTTGAATTTGGGGGGAGGGTCCATTCCCTTCACTAGCTGATACCACACTATCGAGCTGCCCGTTGACTTGAAGCAGCAAGGTACCGAAAATGATTTGTATTAGCTAATGAAAAGACTTGTGCTTGATTTTTGTTTCTGCACTCTGCCTGTCTGGAAGCTGGTGTGTTAAAGCATTAGAGTTACAGCACTTTCAGAAACGGGGAATACTCCTCTCCCCCACCTCCCCCAATCTTGACATCTGGATCAGCCTTTCTCAATGAATGCAGGCCACATCACTGCCCTTGAATTTTGGGCTGCTGCTGTTTTCCCTCTTGATGCGAGTCGACTGTTCTTTCTATCATCCCTTTCGTTGTTCTGCATACAGGTATTTACTGTTGGTGGCCCTACGTTTCCTTAATTTCCTGCCCTTCCCCCTTCCCTTCCACTCGGTGTCAGCGCCACTCTGCTACCTGGAGGCCAAAACTCGAGGGCCACCACTTTCCTCCTCCTCTGTCATTAGATTTGGAAGGCTGCAAATTGCGGAGTCCTGTGAGTGTCCTTGTCTTGATTTGCCTCTTGAGAATGCAGGCCCGTAACCCAAGACACTGCTATGTGAGGCACCCAGTGCAGTATTTCGGGACCTTGGCCTTCCCGCCGGTCACGATCATCCCCCCGGGCCCCAGGCTTCTCCACGCCGCGTCCCGCTTGAGACCGGGGCGCCTAAGGCCCTCCCGAGGCGAGGCTGCAGGCGCGGAACAGGCGTCCTGGGTTCGACCCCTGGGCCGCGCAAGCAGGACGAAGAGGGCGCCTGCCAGGAGCCCCAGGGAGCGGCCGTCTGGGCCCGGGTCCGAGTCAGGGAGCCGCCCCGCTCAACCCTGTGCTACGGGGCAGCCCGATAGGAGCGGGGCTCGGGCCAGGCTCGAAGGGCCTCCTTGCACTCCCGCATTCCGAAGGCCCGACGTTGCGACCTCGAGGAGCTCCAGGGACGCGCGCGGCATTCGAATGGGCCGCGCCGCTTGGCTAGCCCGGCCCTCGAGGTTCCCGCGGGAAGCGGCGCGCCACGCAGGCGACCCTCCCTGAGCCGCCGCCCCCCGGCCCGCGCTTTCCGAGCCGCGCGGGGCGGGGGGCAGCGCCGGACTACAGCCCCCAGCATCCCCAGCCGGCGGGCTGCGCCCGGGCGCGCGTCCACCTCCCAGGCGCCCGCGGAGCGCGGGAGGCGGCGCCTGCCCGGCTGCGCGCACGTGGGGCAGCGGCCACACGCCGAGCGGCCCCGGCAGAGCTGGCGGCGCCTCATGGGGGACCCGCGGCCCGAGCCGGAGCCGGAGCCCGAGGGGCCGGGCGGGCGGCCGCGCGGCTCGCTGGCGCTGCTCACCGACCTGTACCAGTTCACC